TTTTGATGATGGTATGTCTAGTCACTTAATTTAGGTGGTGACCACTGGCTGTCTCTTGTGAAAGGGTTTTTCTTTTTTATTAATAAGTAATCTATGAGGTAATATTTTGAAGATATGAATATTCTTCACTCAAAAGCTTTGGCTTTGGCCGGCCCGGTGGCGCACTGCTACAGTGCGCCGCTTGGGAAGCGTGGTGGCGCTCCCGCCGAGGGTTCGGATCCCACATACAGACCGGCCGTTCACTGGCTGAGCAAGGTGCAGGGGCAACACCGAAGGTTGCGATCCCGTTGCCGGTCCGGGTCCGGTACGGGCACGACACTGAGGGTTGCGATCCGTTGCCGGTCACGAAAAAAGACAAAAAAAAAAAAGTTTTGGCTTTTTTCGATGATCCTTGTCTAAATCAGTTAATGCACTGGGGGTTAAAAAAGGATGATTGTCTAATTCTGTCATGCCACATTTACAGGGATACCTCAGGACATTCATGGAAAGATTGTATTATCTTTCAATTCTATTTTTCCATGAACGTTTTGAAGTACTCGTATTATTTAGCATTCTTCTGTAGAGGAGAGCTCTCCATTGGAAGGATGATGGCAGGTGGAGGTGGGGAAGGGTACTCCAGGTGAGGCATAAGGGTGAGCAGAGGCACAGTTCAGAGGAAGGCAAGCCCAGGTGGAAGGACAGGAGTAGGGGTGCCAGAAGAGGTGGGTCCAGGCTGTACAGGGGAGCAGCAGAAAATGGAACTAGGTGGAAAAAGCATTGATAGAAGAGGTTGATGGACAGGATGCCACTCCCATCTTTAGACCAGGAAGATTTTCTAAACCTGTATCTGAGCCCAAAGCCACATTCAGCCTCCTGTAACCATCTCTCAAGAGCTCAGGTGTTCTAATTGCCTATTGAGAAATGGCTTTAAGCACTTGCTACTCCACGACCCAATAACACTGGCGTCAGCTGGAAGCTCATTAAAAATGCAAAACCTAAGGGCCCTTCTCAGACCTACCGAATAAGAATCTGCATTTGAACAAGATCCCCAGGTGACAGTGAGTCCTTTAAAGTGAGAAGCACTGCTTTAAGCCACTCTGATCCAATTCCTCTTTTCACAAACCATGCCAAACCAGGTACTCCCAGTAAAAATAGTCTTTCCCCTGGGGATTTTCTATGGCCTCCATTCACCTTTCCAACAAGTCTCAGGAGAATCTGCTGCCCAGCTTCCTCCTGCCCTAATCTAGAGAGGCAACAGCAAGGCTTGACAAACATTGGCTTCAAAGTCAACACACCTGAGTTTGAATCCCTTCTCTGCTATTCACCGCCCATGAGGCCTTCTGTAAGCATCATCACATTATGTTATCACTTCTCTAAGCCTTAGTCAATCCCTCACCTTTGAGGTCAAGGTAGAGGCAAAATAAGATCATGCATGTAAAGCATTTAGCCTCAGGAGTAATTCTCATTAAGTGCTTAATCATGTTAGCTTGAAATTAAGAGAGGCATTCCTGGCAAAGGACTCCGTGCACCATGAGTCAGAACCCACCTCACAAGACAATGTGAGGACAGCAAGGAAGGGAATAGGGAATCTCCCCTGGCATATTCAAAACATTAATCACCTTTTATCATTTTAAGTTAGGGCATATTGTGTCAAAAGCAAATTTGGGAGCTGTTTGCACCTGCACATCATTGCCCTGCAAAAAGAAATGAGCCTTTCAAAGTACTGGGGCAGACTAAGCACATCATTAGGATCAAGGCAGTCCCCAAAATAACCACCATTTTTAAGCACTTGCTAATTATTTTTGGTATCTATTACATTTGCAACAAGCCAGGGGAGGGAAAGATTATTAACCCTCTAATCACAGTGATTAAAGAAGAGAACAGTCCTAGGCAGGAAGAAATGATTGGGCTGGGAGTCATTTTACCTGAGAATGAACAGGTTAAGCATGACCATTTCTTTCTCCACACACAGAAATAATTTTATTATTGTTGGGAACACTCATCAGACATCCACAGAGGCTGGGGGGGAAAAAGGAAGTACACTTGAGGAAGTGGAGCATGGAGATGCAGTTTCCTGAGCCACTCAATGAAACTGAGAATGAAAACCTGGGAGAGTCCATTTGTTGATGTCCATGTTAAGTCCATGAACTATCTTACTCAAAGCCAAGTTGATGAGCAAGGTGGTTCATGTCTCCCCAGATCCCCAGGCAAGATTTGAGAGAGAAAACTAGGACTAGGGGACATCTTGCCAAAGAGGAGTTAGTAGACAGCTCTTACTACAGTGCCTGGGGCATCAACAGTCTTCAGCAAATTTTAACAGCCATGTCTCTTTGGAGCCTGCTTCTCCACCCCCAAACACAAGGACTGCTTATGGCAGGCAGGGGAGGGAGGAATGAGCTTTTCTATACTTAGTTTCTGAAGACAGCATCTCTCCCAGGGCACTGGAAACCACCCAAGAGAAATTTAGTTCAGGATCTGCCACCGACTCTTGAGTGCCTCAGTTTCCTCCTCTATAAAATTAGCTTGATGGACTGGAAGATATCTAGGTTCCCCTCTGGCTTTGATTCTCTAAATTTGTCTATCATGGGTAGGGTAGGCAGGGGAAGGTACAGAGAGACCTCGTCCTAAGAGCTCTTCAAAATAGGAACAGTCACACTTCTTTCTGTCTTGGATTCCTTGGGCCCTGGACTCTTTCCTACACTAAAATCCTCTGCTTTTTACATCGCTCTTGAAGTTAGGAAACAAGGAAGCACCCAAATGATAGACAGAAGAGAGACCTTCCCTGACCCCCATATAAATTAGGTCCTCCCCATCAAATATTACCTCTTACAGCCTTGTTACACGAAGTGTGTTCTGTAGCCAGGAGTATAGCATCACCTGGGAGCTTGTCAGAAATACAGACTCTCGAGCTCTACACAAATCTCCTGAATCACAATTTGCATTTTAACAAGATCCCCAGGTGATTCGTATGCACATTAAGTATTGAGAAGCACTCTCTTAAAGCACTCTGATTCTTTTCCTTCATAACTTGCCACAACTTGCAATTCTAATTTTATATATATTTGTATTTTTTAAATGACTTGCATTAGTGATGAAACCATAACATTGGTGGGACATATTCTAATGGCTAACATATGGCCTACTACAGACCAGGTGCTCATTCAACCTATGCTGCATGACTGATCAGCTAGTATTTCCCCAGGTCCTGGTGGCCTCTGGGATGGCTCTACCAGTTTTGCTATTTCAGCATTCTCCCACTGTCCCTGGGCAGCTGATGAATTCAGTGATCTTAGCACCACAAACACTAATCGATGGTCATGCTCAGCAGTCAATTAGTTGTTTACTTTTGAAATGTTTGTCCTCTCACAGAGGCAACACAAAGAAGAATTTTGTGATGCCAGGTCTTCCTACAAACTACATGAATAATTGAGAGATCACAGATGTACAGCATTGTTAAGAGTTTTCAACTAAGGCAACGAAATCATAGAATATGACAGCAGAGAAGGAAGGACCTGTCTGCCAAGTTCACCTCCCTCCCCCTGAGAAGCTGAGGCCCAAATATTTATGACCTTCACCCATCTCCAGATCAGTGCTATGTGGGGCTGTTCCATCAGTGCCTTCCTTGACCCACTGCTACCCATGTGGGCTAGAGAAGAGACCTGTTTATTAGAAAACAAGCTGTCAGTGTAAAGCAAAGCACAGAGCTCCTAGGGAAATGGTGGGATAAAAGGTGAACTCCAGATAATCCTAGATGTTCATGTAGAATGCTAAGAAAACACAATGTGGACAGCTGCTAAATTCTTGCTTTGGTAGAGGTTGGGAAGTTGTTTTTTTTTTTTTCCATGTACATGCTCACACCTCTCAAGTTCTTTATTGGTATTTAGTTAATTATCCTACAGGAGATTCGAACCTGACCAGGTCAAAAAAGAAAGGAGATACTTCATTTCTTATTGGCAAGACACCTTAGGAGTGTCTCCATAGCTGAGGGGAGAAAGGGGCAGGGGAATAGGAGTGGTGAATTAGTCTCTGAGAAATTTATTAGCGGAAAGAACTGTGTCCCTCTGCTTCTGTTGACTACAGAGCTCTAGCTCAGAGCGAATGAACTAGATCTCCCTTTAGTTCCCTCCAATCCCTCAGCCCAGGACTCCCTCCTTCAAAGAACAATCTGTTTCTATCAACCTTTTATTTGTGTAAATATTTATGTATGTCTTTATGTTTATTATAGAATAAATAATATATAATATGAATATATACTACATTTGTATTTATGTTGCATATTTATAAATATTTGTATATTACATTCAAAGACAAATGAGTAATAAATTCATGAGGGCAGGGACCTAATCTGATGATTTATGGTATCCTCCCTATGTTTGGCATATAAACACTCAATTTTGAATTCAAAATTTCCAACCACAGAAGAGAGATGTACCTTCCCAGGTAAGTTTACAACATACTTTCACAGATGAATCAAACATGGAAAAAATCATGTGTGTACTTACACACTACACTTGATCACTTTTTTGGTTTTAGGGGTTAGTTTGGGGGGGGATAGGGGTGGTAGCTGGCTGGCACAGGAATCCGAATCCTTGACCTTGGTGCTCTGACCAACTGAGCTAACCAGCCAGTTCACTCAGTTGTTCTTATGTTGACCGAAGGGGAGAAAAATACAACACATGTGGAGGAGAAAAAGCAGCAGACTAGGAGTAAAGAGTTCCAGCTCTGGTCCCTGAGTTGTCATAAACTTACTGTGTGGCCCTCTCTCAACCCCATCTTTCTCATCTGTGAAATGTGGATGGTTATCCTTGTCTTGTGTTTCCGATAGGCAGGTTGTCAAGCAAATGGATAGAAAGCCCATTGTAAACTAAGTCTGAGAATCAATTTTCAAAATTTAAGAGTCAGATGGAGGGTGAATTCTAAATTGCACAGTACTTTGAGGACAACCAAAATGGATATGGAAAAGACACGTTGTTTTAATTGAATGTCATCCTCATGACGCTTTTTTATTTCTTCTCTTCCAGGACCCCATTCCCAACCCACCAGACAACTTCCCTCTTAAAGGAGGTAAGATCTTGGAATTAAGAGTCAATGGGTAGTGAATTATCCAAATGATGTCATCAGGTGTGGTTCCCAACTCTCAACCAGAAACACTGTGACTGTGCCCAACAGTATGGTGGCTGGGGGTAGGGGTTGAGGTGGGGGCTGCTCTGAGACAAGCCAATGCATCTGGATTTATCTGAGGTGGCCCTGATCAATACTGTCATCCACACAAGTCTCCCACCAGCCCTCAACAGTCCCACCAACGAAAATGCTAGCTCTGGCACAGGCTATCTCTTACACACTGACAGGAACGGAAAGCGGGGTTGTGTTAAGAGCTTAAAACCTGAAGCTGGTCAAATGTGGGTATGAATCTTGGCTCTGCTTCCTACCTGGGAGCCTCAGCTCCTTATCTGTTAAATGGGAATAATAATGCCCACCTCACTGAGGTATTGGAGAATCCGCTGGGACTCTCTTTGTGAATTGCTTGACCTGACGGCCAATACACAGAAGTCATGAAATAACTGGTAATAGCCAAAATGTATAATAAAGTTGAGGACTTATGAAAACAGACCTCCTCCTCACTGCCTATATTTCTAATCACTGAAGTTACTGATTAACACATTGTCTCTACCAGCCCCAGAGGAGCGCTATGCAGATTTCAGTTAACGCTGAAGATGAAAAACTTAGCAATCATCTGATTAATGTTTCTATTGCTCAGAGGAGGAAAAGTAAGACCAAGAAAGGGAAAGTGAGGTGCTTGTCCAAGGTCATACAGAGCCAAACCTAGAACCGAACAATCCTCATCTCTTAATCCAGTGTCTTTTCCACCCAATAACATTAATTCCCATCTCAGTCCTGTAACCTTTAGAACCTAGATAATGTGCTCAGCTGGATAACCAGACAGCTCAGAGAAGAAAGTAAAGGAGAAGGGTGAGTCAATAGAGACACAGGGTAGGGACCCCAGGGCATCCTTGGGACACAGATGACTGGACTTAGCTCCTCACACCAACAGCAGCACACTCGGAGTTTCCTTTGGGATACTCTTGGCAAAGGCTTTCTTGCTGTCTGTCACCCAGAGACTTAGAAAGTAGGGGCAAAAGGCCCCGACACACAAGGATGCTGCCTCTTTCAAAGCAGACTTATAATCAGAGCTTTGTCAATAATATCTCAATCTTGGCTGGAATGACTGAACATGTAACCTCAATTTCCATAATGCCTGGGTAAACCATCACATTAATTTAAAAAGAAGTAAGGCATAATGAAGAAAGCACAGTGTTCCTATAAAGGGCCAACAAGTAAATATTGTAGGCTTTGTGGGCCTTGAAGTCTCTGTTGCAACTAGCCAGCTCCACCTTTGTAGTGCTAGAGCAGCCAGACTCTATGCAAATGAGTAGGCATGGCTGTATTTACATAAAACTTTATTTATAGAATGAGATGATGTGTTGGATTTGGCTCACAAACCAGAGTTTGAAACACTACAGGAACACTACAGGCTTTGGAGACAGATGTCTGAGTTCTCACTCATCGGAGGGAGCTAAAAAACAAACAAATTAATTCACCCACAAACACACACACAAAAAGGGAGGGGAGAGAGGGAGGAGGGCGGGAGGTGTCCGTGATGGGCCATAATAATCATATACATTGTATATTGACAAAATAAAAATTAAAAAAAAAAAGAATACAAAAAAAAAAAGAAAGTAGGAAAAGGAAAAGGATCAACGGGGAGGGGAGAGAGGGAGGAGGGCGGGAGGTGTCCGTGATGGGCCATAATAATCATATACATTGTATATTGACAAAATAAAAATTAAAAAAAAAAAGAATACAAAAAAAAAAAGAAAGTAGGAAAAGGAAAAGGATCAACGAGTACATATGCAAATAAAATGGACACTTTAAATAGAAAAAAAGAAAAAAAAAACATGTAACACATGTTTACGTGAAGCTTCGCAAAAAACAAAATCCACTGAGTAAATATAATTTTCCTCTCTCCATTCTCCCCGTTTCACCACCGCCTCCACCCAGATTTTCTAAGACTGGAACTTTTCATTTTTTGAGAGTGAGAGGCAATCTCTAGCATGAACATTGTCTCAATGACAAGGATAATTTTGATTAGGCCAGGGACTTCAGCCACTCCGGATTCTCAGCTTTCTTGCCTGCAGAACCCTTCAGTTGTAGGTTGCCAAGTACAGGGGCTCTAACAAGTGATTCTGGTGCCATAATAAAGTTCATCAGTCAAGAGTGGAATAGGAAAAACAAGGACAAAGTAGTCCCTTTTTCATGTGGCCAATCATAGTTAATGTAAGGGGTACTCTTCCTCTGAGGCTACATCCTTCCTACATTGTTTTGATGTTAAAATGTCCCTTCTTTTACAACATGAAGTTGATGGAGATGAGAACTTAGTTTTCTTTTTGTCAGAGTTATTTTGTTTAGTTTTGATGTTCACAATAGGCAAAATAAAAAGCTTCCCACTCCATGATGGTCCCTGAATTTTCATCTATAGAGGAAAATGTCTGTGGTCCATGAAACTCAAAATTTTGAGAACTATGGATTATCAGATCTCTTCTTATCTGGGTCATCACTGGGAATATCAGAACACAAACTAATGGAAAACCAACCTTAGTTTACAATCCAGTTTCCACAACTAGATTGTTTTTAAGTGCTGGTGGCAATCCCCGCTAGGGTTGTGAATACTTTGTTAAAGACCTTCCCATACGTCCTTTGAGTTGATTTTAGCCTCAACCGTGGGAGCAAGCCATGTGGGGACTAGTATTCCCATTTTGCAGATGAGGAACTGAGGCCCAGGGAATTAAGGTGACTTGCCTAAGGTCATAAGGAGTTAATGGCAGAGCAAGGATCCGAGTCCAGGGCTCCTCCCTATTCCCCCTGGATGACGTGCTTCACCGTGAGATGCCAGTGACCTGCTGTGTGTGTTCCCTTTCCTTACCTCTGCAAACGACAGGGCAAGATTTGAACTATAGAGCTGATGTCCACACCAGCAGGCTGTGTTTCTTTGGGCAAGTCTTTTCTCCTCTCTGGGTCTCATCTGTAACACAGCAGCAATGAACTAAGTGAACTGGAAGAGTCCTTCCAGCTTTGACACTTTATGAGACTATAATTCTCTTGTCTAATGTGTAAAGATAGAATAAAAACGGCTGACAACTGTTTTGAGGAGATCTGAAGCCACAGCCTCCTTCCCCAAGAAGCCCATCCTAAACAGGCTCAAAAGCAGCAAAATGCCCCTTTTTTAAAAAAGCCATTGCGAGACATTCCAGGCAGAGGGGAATCTCCTGGGAGGAAGCACCAGTGGCAGCATGTGGTTTGTCACTAGGGAGGGCAAGGGTGAAAGTCAGACACTTTCTAGGGAGCCCTCTGCCACTAGCTATTGAAAAACTTTCGCCATCATCAGGAAACCGGCAGTGGTCCAGAGCCTGGAATGTAGGGCTGTGTGCACACATTAAAGTGACATAACACAGGATACCCTTAGCTGCAGGGAAACCACAGAAGCTTTTTTGTAATAAAGGATTTCTGAGTCCTAACTCAAGCCTGTTCCTGGCCAGAATAGCCCCCAGCCCACTGCCACCCCACACCCGCTCCGTGGTGCTTAGAACTCAGTGGACCAGGGGGGCTGTGAGCCAGGAAGAGCGCAGGGAGGACAGATTCCCCACCCCCTTCTCCTCTCTGAGTCTTAGTTCTGTCATTCGGAAGACAGACTTAAGAATGTGCAGCTGCCATGACATCAAAACAGGACAGCAAACACGACCCTGGCCCACCACCTGGCTGAGCCCACATCCTTCGGGCATAGGGCTCACTCTGTTCTTCCACATCCAAATGAGATGGTCCCATCACATCCCACACATGGCGGGGAGCCAAGGAGGGTGGACAAAGACAGTGGGGCTCGTGCTGCTCCTCATCACCTTTTCTTTCAATTTTCTGCTCCCACCAATTTTGAATCTCACATGAGCTCGTGGTGTGTGGCTCATTTGCCCAAATCACAGAATACTGCCACCTTTGCCTTGATTTCCCTAGAGTTCCAATAGCACCCAACATTTGCAGGAGGGTTTAGGGTACGCAGAGAAGCTGGCAGGGCAGGGTAGTACACCACAGTGCAGTCCCAGGATGACGTAGAGTTGCTTAAAAGACCCTCTGTCCTTGCAAGGCCTCAGATCTTCCAGCCACTGGGAATTTCTCAAGGGACTGCTGTCCTCCCTGGGGCTCAGCCCTCAGCCATGCAGGCAGACCCACTCTCCTTCCAATGTTTTTATGTCCTTCTTCTCCCTATTTCCACACATCCAGCCACTGGGAATTTCTCAAGGGACTGCTGTCCTCCCTGGGGCTCAGCCCTCAGCCATGTAGGCAGACCCACTCTCCTTCCAATGTTTTTATGTCCTTCTTCTCCCTATTTCCGCACGATGTCCTTCTTCTCCCTATTTCCACACACACACACCCATCCCCTCACAAGCTCTGCAGAAATTCAAATTCTACTGACTTGATTTTGCAGAATTATTTTGGTCCTTTGGTCTCACCCCCTAAGCCTTCAATGTACCCTGAACCTTTTCATAACAAAATACTCTGGCAACCAAATGGCAGCTCTTACCTGCACTAGAAGATTCTGCAGACAACACTTAAGACGGCTTTCTGGTATTCCGTCACTGCATCTGTGTAAGGCCCTGGCAGAGTGAGAATAATGAACATTGATGGCACCTACTATGTGCCAAGAGATGGCCAAGGACATGGTGGTTCGCTCATCCAGTCCTCAGCAAGCCCCCGAGGGTCACTGTTATCCCATTTTATAGGTAAGGAAACTGGAGAGGTTTACTGATTGGCCTCAGATTTTGCCACTAGTACAGGGTGGGACAAGACCTCAAATCCAGGCTGACTCACCTGGGGGCCCTTCTGCTCAACCAGGATTGCATCATGGAACACTTAGCAAAACCCAGTCCTGTGTTTCCTTCCAGTGCCCCCACCTGCTCTCCAAGTCTAGGAATCCTTCCAACATTCTCTATCACTTCCTCACCACCTGCTCCCCA